CCCCCCCCCCCGCCTTTTTTTTTTTTTTTTTGGTTTTCCAAACAGGGTTTCTCAGTAGCTTTGGAGTCTGTACTGGAACTTGTAGACCAGGCTGACCTAGAACTCACAAAGATCCACCTGCCTCTGCCTCCAGGCCGTGCTAGGATTAAAGGTGTGTGCTAACACTGGCCGGTTTGGTTTACCCCTTTAATCCTAACACTAGGGAAGCAGAGGCAGGCAGGTCTCTGAGTTCAAGGCCAGCCTGGTCTGCATAACAAGCTCTTGACTAGCCAGGATCCCAAAGTCAGACTCAGATGCAAAAGAAGTTTATTAAAAATGGCTTCTATCGGGCTGGAGAGATGGCTCAGTGGTTAAGAGCATTGCCTGCTCTTCCAAAGGTCCTGAGTTCAATTCCCAGCAACCACATGGTGGCTCACAACCATCTGTAAGGAGGTCTGGTGCCCTCTTCTGGCCTTCAGGCATACAGACAGAATACATAATAAATAAATAAATATTAAAAAAATGGCTTCTATCATTTACCTTTTCTTTAGATGGGGGTTCGAACCAGGGTTTCTATGTGTAGCCTTGTCTGTCCTGGAACTAGCTCTGTAGACCCTACTGACCTGGAACTAGCAGAGATCCACCTGTCTCTGCCTTCCAAATGCTGGGATTAAAGATGTGTTCCACCCGTGTGCTTTTGTTGTTTTTAACCATTTTAATATTTTGAAAATCTCAATGTGTGTGTGTATGTGTATGTGTGTGTGTGCATGCGTGTGTTTGGGGGGGGGGATCAGACGGGCAATAGATCCCCTGCAGCTGGAGTTACAGGCAGTTGCAAGTTGCCGGATGTGGGTGCTGGTGATCACACCCAGGTCCCCCGCAGGAACAGCCCATGTTCTTCACCGCTGAGTCATCTCTGCAGCCTGCACTGTTTCTTAATCCAGCCACTGGGCAGAGGAACCCACAAAGGTTGACAGACAGCTGTTGTGTCATGGCCGTAGGAGCTGTACCATGGACCACGAGGGCCATCTCCCTCCAGACCACAGTCCCCTCTCTCACTCGGCCTGTTCCTCTGCACATTCACCCCTGACTTCCTGCCACATGGACGAGCTTTGCCATCCCCAGTTTGGACAGTGAGTCACCACCCTCAGGTCATCCCTAGAGCAGCCACTGACTCTCTGTGACCACACCCCTTACCCCCCCCCCCCAGCCCTATGTGCTGATAGCTGAGACCTCTGAGTTGAAGCAGCTTCACCCCTACGCTCTGGGCTCTCTCTGGAGCGCCACCCCACACCCTGTCTGATGACGTCTTTGTTCTTGCATCTCCCACGAGCAAACCGACAAGATGGCAGACAGAGGAACAGGCTGTCGCAGAAAACGTCTTCCACATCGAGTCTCTTCTGCTCACTTTGCTGACCACTAAAGGGACTTTCTAAAAATCATTTGTTTGTTTAGCGGGACAGGGTCTCACGTAGCCCATGCTGGTCTCAGACTCGATGTGCAGGATAACCTAGATCTTCTGACCCTCCATCTTCCACCTCCTCGTGCTGGGATTACAGACGCTTACCACCACCTGTGGTTTTCTGTGGGCTTCCTATGTGTTAGACAAACACTCTATCAACTGAGTTACAACCCTAGCCCATATTTCCAAACATTGAGATCTCATTATATCCTTCCCTTACTCAAAGTAAATCCCATCCCTACCCACGCAAGAGAAAGTCCATGGAGTCCAGCCTGGGCTAAGAAGAAAAGATCCCCCAACCTCTTTATGGTTGTTCCTTTCCAGCATGCTGTCCAAGTGACAGTCACTGTGGGTCCCTCCAGTCCTCCGTGTGGTTCTCCTGTCACCCTGCTGGGCATCCTTGCACAGCGATGTGGCATCCCTGGCTGGGTGCTTTGTCCACACCTGCCTGGGCTTCTAAGGCCCCTGACTCTGAGCTTCCGGACCTGCAAGGACCTCTGGCTCTGCTAAGGACTCTGCTGAGGGATCCCAGGTCCAGAGGCTCTGGCAGCTGCTTACAAAGACCTTGGACAAGTCGCTCCGGCCTTCTAGGCCTCGGTCTTCCACGTTGGAAGACAGGGTGAGATAATATCCACCATTCTCTGGCTGCCTTGGAATATAATGCTGCCTTTGTGGCCCCCATCTCTGCTCTGCCTCCTGACACTGGGCCGCCTTCTGACATACAAGCCTTCTTTCTGTCAAAGCAGCGAGAAGAGTGGGAGAGAGCTGGCACTGACCAGCTTCAGCTTGGTATTTGGCTGGGTTGTTTGTCTGGTTTTTTTTTTTTTTGTATTTTTTTTAGAAAGAATCTCATGTACTCATGTATCCCAGGTGGACCCCCCCCCCTTTTTTTGCAGGGTCTCTTCTCTGTTATGTAGCTCTGACTGTCCTGGAACTCACTATGTAAGAGTGTAATTGGCCCACATCAGTTTCAGGTTGGCCTCAAACTCACAGAGATCCATCTGCCTCTGCCTCTGAGTTTAAAGTCACGTGCCACCACACACACCCATTGCCTCCAGCTCCCGAGTGCTGGATTACAGGTGGGCACAATGATGCTCAGCCAGCTTGGCATTTGGGCAACTCTTCCTGGGTGCTTGAAGAGGAAAAAGAAAGGAAATGATTCCGGGGAGATTTGTTCTAATATTGTTGATCATACCTGCTCATTTCAGAGGACAGTAGATGGGACAAAGAAGAGGGGACAGGCACGCTAGCTAGAGCAGGTTATGGGGAGAAGATTCGTCCAAGGCCCCTCCTTTCCTTTCTCCTGTTCCCACCCCCGCAGGGAGGGTCCTAAGAGGTCTTTGCCTCTCTGGTGACCTCTTGGACCTTGTATCCAGTTCTTCCCAAGTTCTGAGATTGTAGACATGTGCTTCACCCAACTGAAGTTTTGATGCCATTTTACTGGTGAGAAAACTGAGCTCCCTCCTCCAGCCCTGAAGGAACCTGTGCCAGGTCACAGTTACTGGATGCTGAGATCCAGAGAGGCCGATCCAAGCTGTGCTCAGTCACTCTACTGGACTCTCTTCAGGCTGGTAAAACTACCTGTAGGCACATTGTCTTATTTTGTTTTTAGTAACTTAAAAAACCAGGGTCTTACTATGTAGCCCAGGCTGGCCTTAAACCAAAGAGTGATCCTCCTGTCTTAGCCTCCCAAGTGATGGGGTCACAAGCATGAACCACCTTAGTAACTTTTATTGTCCAATTTTTGATAAAATTTTTAAGAAAAGAAAGAAAAGAAAAAAGGCATGCCGGGCATGGTGGCTCATGCCTGTAATTCCAGCCCACATTCCAACACGTAAGAGGATGAGGCGCGTGACCATCATGAGTTCCAGGCCAGCCTGGACAGAAAGAAAGAACTCTTGTCAAACATTGGAGATGTGGAGCTGACCATGCGAGCATGAGGCCCAGAGTTTAGAACCCACATCAAAGGGGCACTGTGCACCTGTAACCGAAGCGCTGACTAAGGGGATGGAGACAGAGAAATTCCAGGTTTCCTGGCCAGTCAGTCTAGCTACTTAGTAAACAACAGGTTCAGGGAGAGCGCTTGTCTCAAAGAATAAGGTGGAGTTGGGCAGTGGGGGCCGCATAGAATGAGTTCCAGGTCAGGCTCCGAGACTACACAGAGAAACCCTGCCTCAAAACACAAAACAAAAAGAATAAGGTGGAAAGAGCTAGAGAGACAATAAACAAAGCACAGGCACCCATACCCCCACACAGATAAATTTTTAAAAAGATAAATAAAGTAGATAAAAATCTCTAAATAATAAATAATTTTTAAAATGCTTTTTTTGTAATTTTTAAACAAGGTCTTCCTATGAAGCCCTGGTTTTGTTGGAACTCACCATGTAAACCATGCTGGTCTCAAACTCACAGAGTTCCTCCTGCCTCCACCTCCTGAGTGCTGGGACTAAAGGTGTGTGCCACCACCTACCTTTGGGAAGAGAGGTGATAGAGAGGAAACACATGAATGTTGGGTACATAGGGAAAGCCCCGCCCCCCGCTGCTGTGACTAATGCCCCCAACTACTTACCTCATACACAAGTATGCAGTAATGTGTTTTCTTTTTATCACATTGAGATCTTGATGCACCATGAAATCCATTTTATTTATTTGCCCCTTATTTGGTACCACCACCCATAGTCATCATTTTATTAATTTATTTCAAAATTTTAAAATATTTATTTATTTATTATGTAAGAAGATGGCACTGGATCTCATCATAGATGGTTGTGAGCCACCATGTGGCTGTTGAGAATTGAACTCAGAACCTCTGGAAGAGCAGCCAGTGCTCTTAACCTCTGAGCTACCTCTCCAGCCCTAAATTTCTTTTTCTTTTCTTTTCTTTTTTTTTTTTTTTTTTTCTTTTTTGACAAAGGCGGGGTCTCAGTATGTAGCCCTAAAATTCACTATGAACACAAGACTGATCTCAAACTTGAATCTTGTTTCTGCCTTCTGAGTTCTGGTATTAAAGGCATGTGCCACAATGCCTCTTTATGCCGTGTGTGTGTGTGTGTGTGTGTGTGTGTGTGTGTGTGTGTACATGTAACTGCAGGGCATTGGATAAGGCAGCTGTGAGCTGACTAAAGCCAGCACTGAGACTTGAGCTTGCATCTTCTGCAAGAACAGCGGAACTTAACTGCTGAGCCACCTCTTTAGCCCCAGGATTAGTTTGTTTGTTTGTTTTAGTGTGTACGTATCTGTATGAATGTCTGTGTTTCTGTGGGGAGGGGGGTGGCGGGGTGCCTGAGGCCAGGAGGAATATAGAATCCCTTGGAGCTGAACTGTGTTTTACCCCTCACCTTAGAGTGCACTCTTTAGAGGGTTTTAGAGCATTCAAAACTGAAAGTCATTTCTGCTGACTTACAGTAGACATTCTTACCGGCAAGGTGGCCTCCCTGCAAGCATCCCCCGTCCCAACCCCACTCCCCTTCACTCTCTCTACCTTCCTTTTCTTGTTCCCTTTTACTCTCATTAACCAGCACTGCCCTCCAAACAGAGTAACCACCATCTTCAGAACACCAGCTATGACTGTTTGGAAGAGATCAGCTGGGCCTGTCTTTTAGACCTTGTAGACTGTCGCTGTTGGCTCTCTTGAGGCAGGGGTGGAAAGGGTCACTGGACCCTCGCCTGTCCGTGGTGTGGTTGCTTCAGCGTCGTTCCTGCTCCTGCCTGTAACCTATCTCCCATGCTCTGGACAGAAGCCAAAACCTCATTGGTGGAATCAAGGAAGACTTGTTCGTAACTCCCCCATTGAAAAAAGTTCTTATTTATTTGTTTGTTTGTTTGTTTATATTTTTCAAGACAGGGTTTCTCTTCTTTTCTTTGATGCCTGTCCTGGAACTCACTCTGTACACAAGGTTGGCCTCAAACTCACAGAGATCCGCCTGCCTCTCCTCCTGAGTGCCTCCGGAGTGCTGGGATTAAAGGCCACCACCATCCGGTTAGAAAAAAAAAATCTTACAAGTTTCCATCCACTCCCTCCTCTTTCCCCTCCCCAGCTTCCCTGACTTCCAGCCCTGAGCCTGCTGTTTCTGCAAACACTCATCTACTTCCTGTATCTAGGTATTTGCTGACTGGACGTTTCTCACCTGCAGTAGTGCAGACAGTGTACTTGGCGGTTGTTGTCTGACCCCCCTGTAGTATAATGTAGAATTTCAAGGTTTAGCCCATTGTGGAAGGAATCAGGGCTCCTTGCCTTTTTGTGATACACAGATTCAGAACCAAATGCAGTCTGGCTACACAACATCCAGGCCGTGGGGCCCTTACTCCATATGTTTGTTCCTTTACCAGAACCCAGGCTGGCCTCAAACTGAACAACCCTCCCGCTTCACTCTGCTGAATGCTGTTGGGGTATTGTTCAATCTAGCCTCAGACTCACTAGAGAGCCTCGGTGCCCTGATCCTTCCTTCTCCATGCTGGCTTTACAAGCACACCTAACTAGACCCAACAGCAAAGGTCTAAATTTGGTTTCCCTTGCCTGCTGCTCGTGACATCTTCAAAAGCGTTTCCTCATTCATGATGGTGAAAGATTGTTTTCTTTTAGGAATTTTATAGTGTGAGGCTGAGAAGATGGTTCAGTCAGTAAATTCCTTGCCGTGCAGGCATGAAGACCTGACTTTGGATCTCCAAAAACCCACCTAAAAGCTGGGTGTGGCGATGCTTGTCTGTGACTACAGTGCTCAGGAACTGGGGGACATATGTTGTCTCCCTAGAGTTCACTGGTCAGCCAGTCTAGTCAGCTGTAAGCTGCAGTGAAGGGACCCCATTTCAAAAAAATAATGCTGAGGGCCTGTGCCCTCACCCAACAAAGTTTGTCCTCAGGGTTAGGGACATCATTTAGGGGTTGATCATAACTGGTATGGGGTTGAAGGAGGTCATCGAAGCCATCTTTGTTTCTCACATTCCTTTTCTATTTACTTTACCTTTAGCTTTGTGTGTATATGGAGGGGGAGGGGCCTCACGTGCACCTAGCACACTTGTGTAGGTCAGAGGACATCTTTCTGGGGCGTCAGCTCCCTCTTTCCACCTGTGAATCTCAGGAATTGAGCTCATCCTCAGGCTGGACGGCAAGCGCCTTCAGCTGCTGCGCCGTCCCCAGTCCTGTAAGTTACCATCTGTGTTTATTTGGACAGGGTCTCCTGCAGCCCAGGCGGCCGTGAACGCTCTATGTAGCATCACCTTGAACGTCTGCTCTCCTCTCCTGCCCAGAGCTGGCGTCACAGGTCTGGGTTCCACCATGCCTAGTCTTTGCTGTGCGCTACCACCGCCCGGCTGTTTTTTTTAATGTGCATTGGTGTTTTACTTGCGTGTATGTCTGTGTGACAGTGTTAGGTCCCCTGGAACGGGAGTTGCAGACAATTGTGAGCTGCCACGTGTCTGCTGGAAATTGAACCCGGGTCCTGGTATTTTACATCTTAATGCAGATGACATTTCGAGTCTTTAGTAGCCACATAGGCAAGCAGTTACTATGCTGGCTGTTTGCGGTTTGTCCAAGTGTTCAGCATGACCTTCCTCAGACTTGAGTTCCCAGCAATCAGTAAGCTCCTGCTGCTGGGTGTGGTAGTGTGTGCCTGTAATCCCAGCACTCTGGAAACTGAGGGAGGAGGAAGTCAAGGCCAGTTTGAGCCAAGTACCAAAACTTTGTGTCACAGAAAATATGTTTTTGCTGGCGTAAAGACTGGCGCCTTTAATCCTATCACTCAGGAGGCAGAGGCAGGCAAATCTCTGTGAGTTCAAGGCCAGCCTGGTCTACAAAGTGAGTGCCAGGACAGCCAGAGATACACAGAGAAACCCTGTCTCTAAAAATCAATATATGGTAATACAAGCCCAGCACTATTGATATATGTGTGTGTACATCTATTATATGCATATATAATGTACCCCAGCACTATTGATATATGTGTGTGTACATCTATATGCATATATAGATTACCCCAGCACTATTGATATATGTGTGTATACATCTATATGCATATATAGGTATACCCCAGCACTATTGATATGTGTGTACACATATATGCATATATAGATATATCCCAGTACTATTGATATATGTATGTACACATATATGCATATATAGATATATCCCAGCACTATTGATATATGTGTGTACATATATATGCATATAGATATACACATATTTTTTAAAGCACAGTGCTTGTTGGGCTGGTTCTGTCTCCTGGCCCCTCCTCAGAGCCTCACCTGAGCTCCAATCCCACCCCAGCCTGAGGCTATTTTTAAAAAAGTCACCTGTTGACACACCCAGCACCAAACAGAAAAATGCAATTGCGTGGTGGCCTTGGCAGCACTGTTCTGAAGCTTGACCGACGCAGAGGTGAACAGAGAGGTGTCTGCTCAAGAGAATCCATGAAGTGTTTCATATTTTCTATAAGCTGAAAAAAAAAAGGAAGAAAGAAAGAAGGAAAGAAAAGTGAAACTGTATAATGAACCTTTATTGTTGTTGTTGTTTTGGGTGGGGGTAGGGGGTGGGGAGTGGGGGTTGGGAGTGGGAGATGAGGAAGGTGGGGATGTGTTAGGGTTTCTCTGTGGAGCCCTGGCTGTTTTGTAACTCCATTTGTAGACCAGACTGGCCTCGAACTCACAGAGATCCATCTGCCTCTGTCTCCAAGTGTTGGAATTAAAGGTATGCACCACCACCACACACACACACACACACACACACACACACCCGGCCATGACTGTAGTTTTAAAAGGCCACATGTCATGTTGGAGAAATGGCTCAGTGGTTAAGACAGTTTGCTTGTCTACCAGAGGACCTGGGTTCAGTTTTTAACTGAGGTTCACAACAATGCCTGTAACTCCAGCTCCAGGGGATCCAATGCCCTCTTCTGGCCTCCAAAGGTACCTAAGTACGTACGTACACACACACACACACACACACACACACACACGTACACTATACATGCACTATACTCTTTCTTATACTCACATGCTTAGCCTGTACTGTTTAGCTCGAGATTGGACTCCTGTGTAGCAGATGATGATGCCCTTGAACACTTGCTCCTCCTGCTTCCACCTCCACAGTGCTAGGATTGCTCGTGTACCACCATACCAGGCTTTTTTTTTTAATAATTCATTTATTTTTATTTTAAGTGCATCCCTGGACCCCACGTGCTAGAAGAAAACCGACTTCTACAGACTGCCTTCTGACATCCACCCTCAGTGTGCCATCCAGAGGTGCACACTCAAATGTAAGTAAATCAGATATCGGCAGTGGCAAGGCCTTTCGTTGCATTCTCAATACAAATGGCTAAGTGTGTGTGATTTCTGCTTTCCTTCCACGAATCAAGTGAGAGGTCATATGATGACCTGTGACTGGTTTGTTTGTCTGTTTTAACCTGCCAGCCTAGCCGAGAAAAATCTCCAGTGTGGTTAAGAACGTGAGAAATGAGTCAGGGCTACATAGAAAGACCTCGTCTCAAAAACAAACAAACAAAAAGAATGTGGGAAATGAATCTTAAATGGAGAAAATGTCCCTGTAGAGAGGCCTAGTCGCCTTACATGCCTTACATGAAAAGCCACCGTCTGAGTGTGATGTGTGCCTGTTGGTATGCAAGTAAAGATCAGAGGGCAACCTTTGGGAGTCACTTCTCTGCCTTGTCAAGACAGAGTCTTTCTTGTTTCTGCCACTGTGCCTTGTCCTCCTGGCTAGCTGGCCTGTGAGCTTCTGGGGGAGCTTCCTGTCTCTGTTCCCTTCTCAAGCAGGACGGCTGGGATAAAAGCAGTCCAGTACCACTCCTGACATTTTTGTATAGGCACCAGAGATTTGAACTCAGGTCCTCTGGCCTGCACGAAAAGCACCTTCACCTGACCGCCCATCTCACCTGATTCTGTTATTTTGTGTTTGAGGGAGGGTTTATTGCAGCCCAAGCTAGCTTCCAACTTGCTGTTTCTCTGAGAATGGTCTTCAACTCCTGACCACCCCTCCCCATCCTCCCAGGTGCTAAGATAACAGGCATAGGTTGAGCTACCCTGAACTCTTGGCCACACCGTCCCAAGCTCCTGAGAGCAGGGATTACAGATATGAGACTCCATACCTGGCTGTTGGTTTTTGAGAAGGTCTCCCTCTGTAGCACTGGCTGGCCTGGAACTCATTATGTAGCTCAAACTGGCGGTGAACTCTGAGCAATCCACCTGCCTCTGCCTCCCAAGTGCTGAGATTACAGGTTAGACCTGTACTGCTGTGGCAGAAGGCCCTGACCGAAGAAGGGTCCTCAAAGGACGGTAGTCAAGCGATAATTCTGTACAGTTGTGGTTAGCGAGAACATCCTGTCAAACTGTCAGCTCCACTTTCTTTTTCTAAGACCTCTCGTCTACAGAAATAGGCCATAGGGTCAGGCTCTCTGTAACAAAGCTTCAGTTTCTCAGATTCCCGAATCCCTTCATGAAACTTTGGACGTAAGCTGCTCTCACCCCAGTGTACTGGAGACTGTGTCCTGCAGGACTCCAGTGTGTTGGCCTAAATCCAGGAGGAGATCTCCCATTGAGCCTGCCAAGCCTCCAGCCTCCTGGTGTGGTGAGACCACCTCACACTCCCGTCACACACTAACACCAAACTCCACCTTTGTCTCCTTGTTCAGTGGGAGCCCGTGCTTTCTCCCCAAGGACATGGGAGGTGTCATCAAAAATCACCTGTGTAATCCAGGCCTGGAGGGGACATGTCTGTAAACCTAGCATTCGGGAAGTGGAGGCAGGAGGATGGCAGAAAGGTCAAGGCAAGAATGGTCAACATAACAAGTTGCAGGCAGGGACTACTGAATGAGACCCTGTTCCAAACAACAATCACACATCCACAGAAGTCATCTTCAAAGATGGGCACAGTGCTGTGCACACCTGTAATCCCAGTACTCAGAGATGGAGGCAACAGGGTAAGATCCTGCTTCAGAAAACAACAAAATCTCCTTAAGTCAGGCATGGTAGTACATATTTGTGAGCCCAGCACTCTGGAGCGGGGAAGAAGGATAAGACTGCTAAACTATCCTGAGAAACCTAGTATGTATGACCTTGCTCAAGGGAAAATAAAAAGGGCCATGAATGTACCTCAATGGCAGAGCACACTCTAGACACTGGAAGGAAGGCCCCAGGTTCAATCCCAGCCATTTCATAGCAGCTCAAAGTGATCTCACTTTTTTTTTTTTTTTTTTTTGAGACAGAGTTTCTCTGTGTAGCTTTGGAGCCTGTCCTGGAACTCACTCTGTAGACCCAGCTGGCCTCGAACTCACAGAGATCTGCCTACCTCTGCCTCCTGAGTGCTGGGATTAACCAAAGAAGCCCTAGCTGTCTTGGCCATGCCTGTAATCCCAGCACTCGGGGTAGAAGCAGGATGTCCTCAGCTCTATAAGAAGTCAGAGGCCAGCTTGGTTTGTGGTGATCCTGTCTCAAAAGTGAACAAATAAATGTGGTGGTGAACACCTCTAACTCCAGTCTGGGAGACAGATCTCTGGGAGTCAGATCAGCCTGGTCTACATAGAGCGACCCTGCCTCAAAAACAAACAACACAAAGTTGAACAGAGAAGCAAATGCAGACATGGTGGCACTCTGCTTAGTGGTGCGTCATTTACCTAACACTTTGAGGCCACAGCAGCAGCTAACTACAGAAAGATAAAATAAGAAAAAAAGAAACAGCTCAAATAATGCCTGGGAGGCCCAGTGTGGTAGCAAGTGATTTTTTTGTTTGTTTGTTCTTCGAGACAGGGTTTCTTTGTAGCTTTGAAGCCTGTCCTGGAACTAGCTTTTGTAGACCAGGCTGGTATCGAACTCACAGAGATCTGCCTGCTTCTGCCTCCCAAGTGCTGAGATTAAAGGCATGTGCCACCACAAGTGATTTTAATACCAGGTCTTGGGAGGCAGAAGCAGAAGGATTTCTCTAAGTTTAAAGCCAGCTTTTTTTTTTCATTTTGAGATAGGTCTTGCTAAATTGGCCAGTTTGACCTTGAACTTCTTGGACAAGGCCATGCAGCCAGGGTTGGTGAGCTTGGGCTGTGGACCTAGCAAATGTATCTTCCTAGCATGGGGAAGATGTCCACCCGACCAGTTCATTACAATCCTCTCCCTTCCCCTAAACACCTGTCAAGGTTTCTGGGCGGAAGGAGGAAGTGAAAGGTTAGGGGTCAGGGAGGACTCATACTTGGTAAAGGGAATTAAAGAGCCCTTGCTTCTGGGAGAAGTGTGTGAGCCTCTCTTCCAAGGGACCCAAGTTTGGTGTGATGGCTCACAACCACTTGTAATTCCACCTGCAGCAGCTCTGACAGCCCCTCCCTTGGTGAGAGCTCAGGCTCCTGACTTCTGGAATGGCAAGCCTGTCCTATCACGCCTCGACACAGTCTCTTTATTGATGTTGCTGTTGCAGAGAGCAGAGGACTCATGATGTAGCCTTGGCTAACCTGGAAGTCAAGGAAACCTGATTGGTTCTGCCTCCTCCAATGGGGATTAAAGATGTGCACAGTCAGGCAGTGGTGGTGCATAACTTTAATCCCAGCACCCCAGAGGCAAAGGCAGGTGGATCTTTATGAGTTCGAGGCCAGCCTGGGCTACAGAGTGAGTTCCAGGACACGCTCCAAAGCTACAGAGAAACGGGTCTTGAAAAAAACAAAAAGGCGTGCATCACCATGCCCAGCTCTTTCTTTTCTTTTTACCTTTATTTTTAAAATTTGTGGGTCTGGAGTGTTTGCCAGTATATGTATATATGCACCACGTGTGTGCCTGGTATACAGGAGACCAGAAGAGGGCGTGGGACCCCTGGAACTGGAGTTAAGGATAGTTGTGAATGTTCTGCCCATGTTGGGAACAAAACCCAGTTCCTCTTCAAGAACAAGCGTTCTTAATTGCTGAGATGGCTCTCCAGTCCCATGGGCTAGTTCTGAATTGGTGCCTTTTTAAAACTACAGGTACTTGAGGGGCATTCAGTCCCACTTTCCTGTTTTAAGATGTTTTTGTTTATAAGAACACCCACAGGCCCACAACCTCTCAGTGAAAGAGTCAGACATTGCAGACAGCACAGTCTCTCGGTCTCCGACTCACACACGGGAACTCTGACCGCGCGGATCCTTCAGTTTGGACACTGTAGGATTTAGATGGAGGCGGCACTGATCTGGGACTTGCATCTGACCCTGCAGAAGATGAGAATGAACTGTGCTAGCACAGAGCCTTGGCTGCAAGCAGGGATGGAGACCTCAGCCTCCGGAGCAGAACTGCCCGTTCTATCCTCTCAGTGGGTTTCTCTTCCTCCCTCCCATTCCTCTCCTCACTTTAACCAACCTGGGGAATCAGATCTCAGGGGAACTTTGATCTCCTTATCTGGAAGGCAGGAAGGTAAGCCTGCAGAGCCTGAGGGGAGTGAGCTCAGGCTCAGGAATGCTCCACATTTTTCTAGCAGTTTCATGACCTTCCCCGTAGGGAGGTTGAAGGGAAAGGGCAAGAGCAGAATGAGAGGAGGGACTGGCTTGACAGGGTTTGGAAAAATCTACCCTAGAGAAACCCTGGCATGGGCTGGGCGCTTTCCCCTTACTGTGTGAGTAGAAAAGACCCTGGGTATGCACCTAGTTAGAAGCCTGGGTTCATCCTCAGACCTACACTCCCAGAGCTGAGGAGGTTAAGAGGCGGGTAGATCAGAAGCTCAAGGTCACCCTGGGTAACATATTTCACAGTCAGTTTGGGATAAGTGAAACTGACAAAAACCAATTTTTGTTTGTTTGTTTTTGAGACAGGGTTTCTCTGTGTAGCCTTGTCTGTCCTTGTAGACCCTCAGGTTGGCCTCAAACACAAGAGATCTGCCTCCTTTGCCTCCCAAGTGCTGAGATTAAAGGCCTGTGCCACTACTGCCCACCCAAACCTTTTCCAATGTATATAAGTTTTTTGCTGACCTGTATGTGTGCTCCCAGAAGAGATCCCTTAGGACTGGAGTTAAAGACTTGTGAGCAGCCATGTGGGTGCTGAGAATGAACCAAGGTCTTTTTTTTTTTTTTTTTTTGTATGTGTGCTCCCAGAAGAGATCCCTTAGGACTGGAGTTAAAGACTTGTGAGCAGCCATGTGGGTGCTGAGAATGAACCAAGGTCTTTTTTTTTTTTTTTTTTGGTTTTTCG